GGCTGTAGGATGGGCTCTGAAAGAAGAAAAGAAGAGTGGGAAAGGGAAAATCCAGAAGAGGGGCCTCAGGCTGGGAAGATCAAGATCCTGGTTTAAAGGTCTTCAAAATGCATAAAGAAGATCTAGAGCTTTATCCTGTGGGTAAAAGAAGCAAATGGGTAGTGTTCATGTGGGCAGTGCCCTGTGGGATTTGAACTTTGGAAGGAATGCCCCAGCTGAGTGCAGCAAGTGCAGTATCCCCAGGACAGAGGTAGGGAGACCAGAAAAAAGCCATTATGGTCATCCAGGTAAGCAAACACCTGCAGAAGTCACAGGGCTGCAGAGAAGGAGCAGAACTCAGGGTAAGAAGGGACGGACTTGCCGTGGAATTGACAGTCAAGGAAGTTTAGGAGTCTCAGTGTCTGAATGTCATTCACCAGGACAAAAGGCAGGTTTTTAAGAGGAAATGTGGAGAAGTTCAGTGAGGAGTGTGTTTGGTTTGGGGTAGAAAGGGGCAGATGGGGACCTGAGAGACAGGACTGCTCAAAGTCATGGGAAGTCGAGGTCATTTCAGGTTCTAGAACGCAGGGCTCCTCAGCACCCTATTCCCAGGCCTGTCCAAGCTCTTTCTACTATACCTCTTCACGTGTTTGCTTGCATGCATGCATGTACATGTGTCTGCATCTGTGTCTCTGTGTGTGGATACACATATCCAAGTGCTAGGGATTGCGCATACTAGGCAAGTACTGTATCACTGAGACATGCCCACAGCTCCCCCTCTGCCTCTCGGGTAGCCCCCATTCCAGCCTCTACACATTCCAGCCTCTACACTCTTGTTCTTGCTGTCTTGTCCCCCACCCCACCAGTACACCCCTCCCTCCTTGCTACAAATCTCCCCATCCCTCAAGTTCCAGCTGGAGTTCCACCCCTGCCTCTAAATTAGGGTCAAGATACAAGCTGTGTGGCATGGCAGATCCATTTCCCTCTGGGGACCTCAGTTTTCTAATCTTTCAGAGGCAAATACAGAAAGATCCTTGAACTTGGGGGTGTTACAGTCTAGCAAGAGCCATAAAAATCAATCATAATCAGGACATGAAAGGTGTACCAAAGGTCTAGACCAATGTCTTTGAAGAAAGAGTCAAACTTCCTCTGAGCATAGAAAGAAGGGATGAAACTCTGAGCAGGCCACCTAGAGTGAAGGAGACCTCCAGAGCATGCTCTACCTCTGGGTGGAGGGACTGGCCAGGGCATTCTGGGTGTGTTCAGGGCAGGGTGAGTGTCCAGATTCTCATTTCTGAGTCAACAGCTTTTTGTAAGCAGGCTGGCCATGCCGGACAAGCTCCAGTAAACACCTGTTTGCACAATCGAGGTCACACGCAGGGGCGCGTTTGCATAACGACCTGTTTGCACAATCTCCGCTCTATTCCAAAGCAGGCCCTGGAAGACAAACACAGCCTCCATTTCCAGACACACACAGGGCAGCCCACCAGCCCCCAGAACAAGCTGCTCCTGAATCCACCTACCAGCTCCACACCCCCACACCTCTCCAGCCACAACAGAAACAGAACCCACGGCCCTGTTGACCCTGTAGCTGCGTGCCGTGAAGAACACTCCCTCCCCAAGGGCTCTGTGGCAGGGGTGTCCAGCCCACACAGGTCTGATCTGATGGAGAAGGGCAGGGGTGAGAGAGCTGGAGAGGGATGACTCTTCGTCAGTCTCGGGTCTTTTATTCCACCATAGTAAACCCTCCTTAATCACTTATGTGCCTGGCTCTGTCACACAAGCTTTACATTTCACTGATTTCTCTCAAGAATCCTATGAAACAGGTACTATGATCCCCATCTTAAAGATGGCAAAAACCAAAGCTCAGAGAGGTTAAACAACTTATCCAAGGTCACATAGGTAGCAAAATCACGCCATTTGACCACTCAGCGCATGTTTTTAATCTGTGTCCAAGGTCTCTCCCCTAAGGAAAGTTCCTCCTTAGATCTAACTTTCATTTCCTTAAATCTACGTTTTGTTTCAGCTGCTACAGCTCCATTTCCTGGTGCAAGTTGTCAATGGAGAATGGAGCACCACTAAGCTCAGAAAAATCTTGCTCCAAAATATTAAAGTGTGCAGTGCAAAATAAAGAAAGTGATTTCAATAGAACACCGACCACGTGCTGGTTACTGTGCCAGACATGGTAGCTGGTAGCTCATTTAGTCTTCACAAAACCCCTGGAGAAGAGTTATCTTTCCTGTGACGGGTACAGGAACTGGGGCTCGGAGAGGCTAGCCACTTTGTCAAGCTTCCCGCAGCCCAGGGGAGATGCACCAAGCATCTTCTTGCACCGTGCTAGGCTGTGGAGGCAGAGACCAGGATGTGGCTTTGCCCTCCAAGAGTTCCCAGTCTGATGGAGAAGGCAAGCAGCAGCCCGCTGCTGTTGTAGGATTAATGAAGAGGGAGCACCCAGCACAGATAGGCTGAGATGCAGAAGCCAGAAAAATGCTTCATGCAGGTTGGAGTCCTGAGCTGTCTAAGGAATAGAGGATGCAGCCAAGCAGAAGTGATGGGGTGGGCAAGGGCAAAGGCGCAGAGGCAGACAGAGCCTGTGGCTGGCAAGCGAATGGCAGACTCAGCGTGACTGGAGCATGAGGTGGGGCATTCAGGGAGCTGGGAAGAGCCTGCTTGTCCCATTAGGAAGTCAGGATGAGTCGGGCCTGATGGCAGAGTCAATAATCCCGGCCATTCAGGACGCTAAAGCAGGAAGATGGTGCATTTCAGCCAGGCAGCACAACCTAATGAGACCCTGTCTTCCAAAATAAAAAACAAATAGAGCCAGAAGTGTAGGTCAGTGATAGAACGCCCCTGGGTTCAATTCCCTGTACCGCACATAAAGGAAGTCAGGCTGAGATACCGACCTTGGCTGAAAGGCAAGGAGGAGAGATGACCCGAGAGCGCCTCGAGAGGAGACAAGGAGCCGGCTCCCTGGAGCAGCCCTCCCTAGCCATAGTCCCACACCTGCTCCTGAAGCAGATCTCCAGCTGATGTTTGCAAAGGTTCTCCTCCTCCTGGAAGAACTGGTCAAGTGTGGGCACAGGAAGATATAATGAAAGGAGTGACATCTGGGTCTGTGCAGTGTCTGACCTTCGGGTGGGGGTGTCTAACTCAAAAGGGTGACAAATACAAGGACTAGGGTCAGATCTGATGAAGTGAGAGGAACATTCATCCATTCAGTTGTTCATTCAACAAGCATGGACTGAGGGCTCACCTTGTAGTGGGCAGAACTGTAGGCGCTGGAGTTAAAGTTCTAAACATCCAAAATAGTTGCCTTTATGGGATATATCAGGGATCATACTCAGGACCTTGAGCTTGCCTGGTAGACACTGATGCCACTGAACTATATCCGCGGCCCAGGACATCCATTCTTGTGGGGGTGGGAACAGCAAATATTAGAAGATGAAAGAGGATATAGAGGAAGAGAGACAGGGAGAAAAGGAGATGTAATTTTTTAAAGGCTCCTCAGAGAGGACATCAGTGAGAAAATGACAAGTGATCAAAACCATGAAGAAGGGAAGGGAGGGCCAGGGAGATAGCTCAATGTCATAGGCACATGCCTAGCAAGCACGAGGTCCTAAATTCAATCCCCCGTACCCCCCCCAAAAAAAAGATAAAAGGGAAGGGAATAATCCCAGGTGGATCTTTGGGGTCAGGAGGTACCCAGGACAAAGAGACAGCAAGTGAAAGGTCCTGAGGCAGCCTAACAAGTTCAAGAAACAAGGAAAAGAATCACTGGAACAAATTAGTAAAAGGACGAATAAAGAAGGGATCTGGCAAGTAATGGGGGTGCATTGCACTGAAAGGGTTTTGAGTTTCACTCTAAGCAAGATGGGAGACAATGGAGGCTTTGGGGCAAAAGGTGACATGATCTGACCTCTGTTTGATCAATGCCACACTGGCTGTTAACAGGACAGTAAATAGAGAGACAAATATGCATGAACATAGGAGGCCAGGGAGAACGTGGCTGTTGCAACCATCTTTGTAAGAAACAAGCATGGCTTGGACTGAGCCAGCATAGGTATAAGCGGTATTTATATTCCCAATACATTATCTTGAAAATATTCATAGAGCCAAGTTGAATTTTTCTGTGAATACCTGTATGCCCAGGATTCCTGTTCTATTCTGAAGAGTCAATGCATTTGGGATTTGCTGAGCGTGCAGAATGAAGGGACAGGTCTGGGAGTCAGTGGCAGACACCTGGCCCTCAGATCTGGAGCCAGAGCTACAGCAAGGCCCATCCCATCATGCCCAGTGCCAAAGCCCAGGTTCCCTAAAAGAATCACAGGTTACAGACAGGATATGGCCTGCTGGTGCCTTGAGTGGGTCATGAATCTAGTCAACTCCAGCAGCATAGGCCTTCCCAGAAAAGTTTTTGTAAACACTTGCAAGAGGAAAAACAGCAGGGGAAACATAGATACAAATAACCTATTACTAAAAACATATATTTCCTTCAATTAGAAAATATTCAGTGTAAAGGGCCTGCCAGATAGCTCAGCAGACTAAAGCGCCCACTTAGGCAGACACAGAGGCCAGGGGTTTGATCCCTGGTGTGCTGTGCCAGCCCCGCCCCCGGGGTGCACTGAGATGGCAAAGGAGACTGGGCTTGGTGGCGCATGCCTGTAATCCCAGCACTTGGGAGACTGAAAACAGAAGGATCACTACAAGTCTGATCTGTGCAGTGAGACCCTGTAGACCCTGTAGACCTGTACTATATACACAAAAAAAAAAAAAGAAAGAAAGAAAGAAAGTATTCAGTGTAACAGAACCCCTGTGAGTAAATGTTAGCAATTTTTGGTGAATATATGAAGGCACCCGGCTTGGAGCTCCAGGCTCAGGAAACCCAGAGGCTGGGGAGGGGATACTGGTGTCACATTCCCCAGCCTTTAAGACCCCTGAGGCAGGTAAGCTGCTGGGCCTCACCAGTTTCCCTCGAGGGCTCCTTCCTGCACAGGAACCCTCGGAAAGTGTCGCAATCCTCAGTCCCCCAGCTGTCATTAACGAAAGAGCTGGGGAGAGAAGCCCTACTGAAGCAGATTTCAGGAACTTGACTCAAAGAGTGGAGAGGAGAGACCAAGGAGGCCCGCACATCTGCCCAGGCTCAGCGTGAGTAGGGGATGTCGGGAGGCTGGGCCCACGTGGGTGGAGACCCGCAGTCCTGGGAGCACTCACCCAGCTCTGCTACAGGCCACTGTCCTGGCCTTGGTGGCATGGGCCAGGCTCCTGCCCTAGGGGTTGAGGCCTGGGAACCAGGAGCTTTGGACAGTGCCTCTCTGAGGGTTGCATCAGGGAAGCCACAAACAGCTGCCTGTCTTTGGGGACAGAGATCTGGGCTTGAGGGTGGTCGCTGTCCTCCTCCTCCTCTCCGTGTCTCTGTCTCTCAGAACCTGTGCATCGACATGTCTCAGTCTTTGGTCTCTCCCTGTCTCCTCTGCGCCTCAGCCCCTCTCTCGTTGCTCCCTCCCTTGGTGACTTTCTGTCTCACATGCTCTCTGCCTCTGTCCATCTCTGAGTTTTCCTTTGTCTCTCAGCCTTACTGCTTGGTACCAGACTGCTTCCCATCACCAAGCTTTAGCCTTTCCAGCCTAGCACATGTGTTTCACCGGTTTTATCTGCCTCTCCCACCTCAGTCTTTATCTGTATGGATCTCTCTCTCTCTCTCTCTCTCTCTCTCTCTCTCTCTCTCTCTCTGTCTCTCTGTCTCTGTCTCTCCCTGTCTCTCTGTCTCTGTCTCTGTCTCTCTCTGTCTCTCTCTGTCTCTGTCTCTCTGTCTCTGTCTCTCTGTCTCTCTGTCTCTGTCTCTCTGTCTCTCTGTCTCTGTGTCTCTCTCTGTCTCTCTGTCTCGGTCTCTCTCTCTCTCTGTCTCTCTCTCTGTCTCTCTCTGTCTCTGTCTCTGTCTCTGTCTCTGTCTCTCTCATCTCTCTGTCTCTCTCTTTCTCGGTCTCTCTGTTTTTCTCTCTTTCTCTGTCTCTCTGTCTGTCTCTCTCTCAACAGGATCTTACTCTGTAACAGTTCAGGCTGGCCTTAACTCACTACATAGCCCAGGCTAGCCTGGAATCCACAAAGATCCTCCTGCATCGGGCCCTGTGGGTGTCTTATATACAACTGTATAAGTACCTCAGTCTCTGTGTCTGTCTGTCTCTGTCTCTGTCTCTGTCTCTGTCTCTGTTTCTCTGTCTCTCTCTTCCTCCCTCCCTCTCTCTCTCCTTCCCTCCCTCCCTCTCTCCCTCCCACATCTGGGAAGTCCCTGTCCCTTGATTTATTCCCAGCCACTCCTCCATCCCCACCTCTTTCCATAGAAGAAATTCCAAAAGAATAGGGGAAGTAGCCAGGTGATGTAGCTCATGCCTGAAATCCCAACACTCTGGGAGGCTGAGGCAAGGAGATGGAAAGTTCAAGCACACGTTGGGTAACTTAAACTTAAAGGGGGCTCAGGACATAACTCAGTACAAAGCCCTGGGTTCAATTCCTGATAATACACAGAAGGAGGAAAGGAAAGAAGAGAGAGGTTGAGTGTAGTGGGAAGAAAGAAGAGAAAGGCTGGTAGCAACTGTAGGTGGCATCAGACATGCTGGGCACCAAGGTTCAGGACAGCCTCGGGCCCAAACAGAGATGGTGAGGTAACACACACAGGCCAAGGGAGTTAGAAGTGGAACACAGAAAAGGGACTTTGGGACTGTGCAGTACAACACAGAGATAAGGTGGAAGGCGTAGCAGGCTGTGCCCATGCAGCCTTGCTGGGGGACTGAGCCATGCTGGGGTCTGTGAGGAGTCCCCTGCTTTGCGGCTCATGACAGTCACCTTCAGTGGCTGGGAGCGTGCTCCTTGCCCAGCAGAGCCCTGAGGGAATCCACTCAGATGATCTCCTTTCACCGTCCAACTGTCACAAGAAGCAGGTGCTATTGTTACCTCTTTTTCACAGATGGGGAAACTGAGGCTTGGAACTGTGAAGTAATTTGTCCAAGGCCACAAAGTTGGTAAGTGGTGGAGCCGCAGGCCAGGTCAGGCAGTCTGACTCAGTCTGACTCCCAACCCCTTGGCATTCTGGTGCACCCTGCCCCCCAAGGTAAAACCATGCTCCTGCAGGCCCCAGCTCCCACACCCTGCTTGGGGAGACCCTGAGGGCTGATGCCAGACACACCAGAACCCCACAACTGGGGAAAGATGCTTGAGCCTCTCAAGGTTTGGCTGCCCACTCTGGACAGAAGTTAGTGGAGCAAGAGAAGGAGGTACCTGGCCCTGAAGCTGCCCCTCTCTAAAGCAGCAGAGCCTGGGAGAGATGATGCTCCAAACTGATCCGAGGTCTCCCCAGCCAATGAAGAGAAGGCAGGGTAATAGTCAAACTGATATGCTATAGTAAGAAAGTTACTGACTACCAATTTGGTAGAAAGGAATTCTTTGAACAGTTGTACAGTTTCTCACTGCACAAATCTGCCGGATGGAGGCTGAAATCCAGCCTGTTCTCCAATTACCAGGTCCTAATATGGGGCAGCACCAGAGGTGCTAACCAGGGGTGTTTTTTGTTTTTTGGTTTTTGGGGGTTTTTTTTGTTTTGTTTTGTTTTTTGGCTTTGATGGGATTTTTTTGTTGTGCTTTTTGCTGATTTGCACAATGGTGACTTGTGGACACCAGATATCCTGATATTGCAATATACATGAATAAACTGGGGGAGTGTTGACAGGCCTCAGCAAGCAGGGACAGCTTTGGCTGTCTGGATCACTCATTCATACTTCCATCTGGGTAGGAGAGAAAGCAGTCCTCCTGCAGGCCTCACAGGCCTGGCACCCAGAGCACTAGCTAGTGCTGGAGGATCAGGTATCCGGCCCAGACCCCTAGTGGGAGCAGGGCTGAGGGACCCACCACACTCCGCCCCTGTGGGAGAATCACTTGCACACTTCATGTCAGGAGTTAAGGCTCTTTCCCTTCGGGGACCATAGCCATGAGCTCGTCACATTGGCCCCCAGAAGGCCTCCAGAGATCTGCGCCAAGAGGTGGGGTCTTACACATACCCCCACCCACCCCACCCTCACGTCCCCATTTCCTTTGGCCTTTGTCAAGACAGCCAGCTTCCTGCAGGCAGCACCTGAAGCCCCCTGCTGGCTGCTCTGTGAAAGTCTGAGGCTGCCACGGAGGTCGCTGGTGTGGTCACCCTGGAGGACCTGCCTGGGACTCATGGATATCCTGCCTGAACTAACCAGAGAGTTAGCACCCCAAGGGGCACCCCTTGTCCCATGGGGGCAGGAGCCTCTCTCACGTCCAAGGATAAGCTGTCCCTTTAGTGGACAAATCCTGTGTTGGCTCCTTCACCCCTGTTTCATTCTCCCCTCTTCTCACCTGCTTCTGGGATCTTCCCAGAACACAGTGCCTGCACGTAAGTCTTGTCTCAGGTGTGGCTTTCTGAAGACAGCCCAGCTGGGGGTGGGGTGCAACATGCCATTCCTCCCCGCTCCTCTGATCATGCCTAGAAGACACCAGTGGTGGTGGCCACAGTCATTTCCTGTGTGCCAGGCACAATGCGAAGCCGTTGCCTTTCATGATTTGTGTCCTCTTTCCAAAGTCCTATGCAGTGCAGTCTGCTGGTATCTTCATTTTTGAAAGGAAACTGAGGATGAGAGAGGCCATGCAACCTAGCCAAGGCTGCACCATGGCAGGGCAAGGGTGAAGCTCAGCTCTGAGTCCAAAGCCATGACCTTACCCACTCTGTCTCCAGGTGAGCACCAGCTGGCACTATGGCAGGGCTGGGAGCCTGCGGCCTGACCCAAGCAGCCTTGATCATCCTGTTCCTCCCCAGAAGTAAGTGTGATGATGGAGGTGGGGTGAGAAGAAGGGCCCTGCCTTGCCACATGGCTCCTGGAAATGCCAGGAAATTCCAAGAGGCTCAAGATGGAGATGGCTGAGGGGCAGCTGGGCACCCACCCCCAGACCGCAATCACCAAGAGGGATGGTGAGAGGAGGGGCCTGAGCAGGGGGCAAAGGCAGGGGCAGTCAAGTCCTACCGCAAACCTTGATGGGCTGTCAGAAGGACCCTCTGGGTCCTGTGCAGTCTTGGTGGTAGCAGAAGGATCCTAGTAGGAGCCTTAAGGAGGCAGGTTTTACCTTGAAGCAAGGAAGCTCAGGCACAGTTCTCCAACTCCAGAAACTGTCTGAAGAGGTAGGAAGCAACCCATCTCCAAGAGTAAGCAAGCTAAGGCCAGGACAGAGGACAGCGTTGGGGCTTTTCTGGCCGCATGTAGAATTCTTACCCAGCTTTTATTTGTTTTTAGCCCTTGAAAAATACATAAAGCATTCTTAGCTAGCAGGCCATATAACAAGCTGCCCAACCCTTGCCAGAGAGGACATAGCATCAGGTGGAGTTTGGAGGTGAACAGCCTTGTGCGCTTCCTTCCAGTCTGAAGTTCTGAGTCTGTGAAGCAGGAAGAGCCCAATGTTGGGAACCCTGAACTTACTCTGTCACTCTGGACCACCTCTCCTACATTCTTGTCCATAAAATGAGTCTAAAAACACCTTCAAGAGAAGCAAAGTCACTGTAGACCAAGAGCCTGTTGACTTACTTTATTCAAGAAATAGTCTCCAGGCTGGGAGATAGCTCAGCTGTCTAAGCAGCTGCCTGGCAAACGCAAGGACCCAGGTCCAACCTCCAGGACCACATGCCATGCCAGCCCTGCACCATGCTGGCCACTGAAACCAGGCATAGCTCATATGCCTGCAATCCCAGGGCTGGGAAGGCTGAGACAGGAGAATCACTATAAGTCCAAGCTGCATAGCGAGACCCTGTACCAAATACATAAATAAATAAATAAGTCTTAAAAAATACAGAAAGAAATTGTTCCCAAGAGCCCTCTATGTGCCAGGCATAGGATGCACCATCAAAGGAGCAAAACAGCCACAGTCTCTGGCCTCACAGAACCTAGAACTGGAGCATGCTATGATCCCAGAACTCGGGAGGCTGAGGCAGGAGGATCACTGCAAGTTCAAGGCAAGCCAGGACTACATAATAAGACACTGCCTCATAAAATAAAAATAAAAATAAAAACAGAACCTGAGAGAGAGACAGAGAGTACACAATCATGACTATAATTACAAAGAAAAATAAGGGCTTTGGAAAAGTAGAGATTTGGCTGTTCTGGCTGGGCAGGGCATCCGGTTCCCCAACATGGGCAAATGTTATGAATGGAAAAGGAGCAGCTCAGACGGGAGCAACAGGAAAAGTCCAGAGTCGAGAGAGGGCAGAGATTTCCAGGACCGGCACAACAGGCTCACAGGGCTGCAGCTGAGAGAGGCCACAGTGAGAACAGAGCAGGGGAGCAGAGGCTGGACCACAGGATAGTGGGGAGGACCCAGACCACGGTCCCCCAAGCCAGCCACAGTTCCTCATGCTTTGCGTATACATCACAGCTCCATCATTCTTCCCACAGCTCCAGGGTGGGCGGGGCTTGGCGTATCTGCCCATTACTGATGAGATGAGAGATGAGACAAAAGAATCTCAGTCCCACAGTCCAGGGTACAGAATGAGTAAGGACCCAAGACTGAACCTCAGCAGATAGCTCCGGGGCTGGGCTCCTGCCCATCCCACCGTTCTGCCTTCCAGAGCAATGACCGGGCCTTGTGAGTGTTCTGATAAGATGCGGTCACATTTGGAGAAGATTGCTGTGGCTGCAGGGTTGTTATCACTCTCATCATTGCTTTCACCATTCTCGGGGAAGTGCTGGAGTGGGGACCGACCTCTCTGTGGAGTCAGCTTGCAGGAACTCTGCATTCAGCAAGGGCACGTTGGCAGCTGGGACTCAGGCGTGAGGAGGTGTTCCTAGTGCAGTAAGCAGCACCCGCCGCAGATCAGGAGCTGTTCTTCTCCATAGAGCTGGTCGTAACCATCTACCTGTACATAGCTGTCTCTGTCCCACAGCCTCTTGCAGTGCTTGTATCCATGTTCCCGGAAGAGCCCTGAGTCTGAAAGGATGAGTCAGGCAGTGAGGGCCCCAAATCTAGGGGAACAAGACCTAGACTGCTCAGATTTACCAAGTGGAGTCCCTTGTGGCTGTTCTTTCCCACCCAGGCTTAGGGAAGTGTGGACGTATCAACATCTCAGCCCCCATCGTGTGCTTGGGGGACCCTGTCACAGCCTCCTGCACCATCAGCCAGAGCTGCATCTACCTGGAGCCAGAGCCACAGATCCTCTGGAAGCTGGGAGCAGAGCTGCTGCAGCCCAGGGGATGGCAGCAGACCCAGCCCGATGGGTCCCAGGAATCGGTCATCACCCTGCCGCACCTCAACAGCACACACACCTTTCTCCTCTGCTACCTCAACTGGACCAATAGCCTGCAACTCCTGGACCAAGTTGAGTTGTGGGCAGGCTGTAAGTCCTTCTACCCCCCCCCCAACTGCTCTGCCACCACCCGCACAGCTGTGACTTACTGAGCTCTTGCTCAACAGGCACCTCACGGGCACAATATCAGGGATTTAACAGTGGGTACTGCTATTAGCCCCATTTTCCAGATAAAGAAATAGATATTTCTATTGCCTATGAAGAGGCAAGTGACTCACTGGAATCAAATGGTAATGAAGAACCCAAGATTTCTTTTTTTTTTTTTTTGGAGCCAGGGATTGAACTCAGGCCCTTGCGCTTGCCAGGGAAGCACTTATTCCACTGAGTCATCTCCCCGGCCCTGAAGCCAAGATTTCTATCAGGCACCAAAGCTCTGAAAGTAGTCATACTCCTCCATGTGACTACTAAACAAGCCAAGCTCCTTGGCTATTGTACAGGGACCCAGGGAGGACATCCTCCCAGCTTCTCCCTGCACCATCCCAGGCTTGCCTTCAAATGCAGCAAGAGGGGACTGGTGCCAGGCTGAAGCACAAAGGAAAAAACAAACGCCACACCCCATGATTTAAGAAAGCAATAATAGGACTAGGCATGGTTGTACATGCTTGTAATTCCAGCACTGGGGAAGCTGAAGCAGGAGGTTGAGGAGTTAGAGCCCAGCCCGGGCAACTTAGTAACATAGTGAGACCCTATCTTAAAATTTTACAATGTTTTAAAAAGAGCAGGGAATGTAGCTCAGTGTGAAGGCCCTAGGTTCAATCCCTGACTCCACACACCAAAAACAAATAAATAGTAGCAGTAGCTAACACCTAGATAGCACTTGCTATGTATAGGCCCTGTTCTGCCCACTTTACATATGAGAAGCCATTTGTCCCTTACAACAACTGGAGGAGGCAAGTGTATTACCATTACACCTACTTTACAGATGAGGAAACTGAGATACCAAGCAGTTAAGTAACTTCAACAGCACATTGTTAGGTCCGGGAATATAGCTCAGTGGCACAAGTGCCTGCCTGACAAGCACAAGGTCCTGAGTTCAATTCCTGGTACAAAAAACAAACACACTATTAACGATGAAGACTCAGATACTATCCATCACTGACAAAACGATCCTGAGTTGGAGATGGAATCACAGGCTTTGGGCCCTGTGGCACTCGTACATCCCTGTAACTTTGTTTGTTTCCCCCAGAGCTACACCTCTGGGTCACACTGCATTGGCACTGGGGGGGACAAGGTGACCCCATAGAGACCAGAGCTATGAAAAAGGCCAGCAGCCCAGGGAGCACTTCCTGTGGTCTCCCTCCCATCCCTCTCTCCTTGCAGATCCTCCAGCTGTGCCCTACAACCTGTCCTGCCTCATGAACCTCACGAGCAGCAGCCTCATCTGCCAGTGGGAGCCAGGCCCCGACACCCACCTGCCCACCAACTTCACCCTGAAGAGCTTCAAGTGAGTAGGGACCCCCAGCCCAGCTGCCTTCCTCAGAGTCCTGGGGAGGGGCATGAATAGGACTGTGGGGGCAAAGGGAGAAGGGAGCCCCACTTTCCTCCTCTGTTGGCTCCAAGCCTGGACTATTGACAGGAGCCGGAGCGACTGTCAGACCATGGAGGACACCACCAAGGACTGTGTGCCTGCACGCGGGCAGAGCTACTGCTCCATCCCTCGCAAACACCTGCTCTTGTACCAGAATATGGTCATCTGGGTGCAGGCAGAGAACGCACTGGGGACCAGCCTGTCCCCACGGCTGTGCCTCGATCCCATGGACGTTGGTGGGTGATACTGGGTGGACAGAGGAGAAGCTCCCAGAGTGGGCAGACCCAGAGAGGTGCAGAGAGAGAAACAGGCCCAGGCCCAGGCTAGGAGACCCCGGCAGAATCAGACAGAGTGGCAGAGAAGAGAGACAGGGACAGAGGGTGCAGCTGGAGACAGGCAGGGGGACACAGAGGCCAGGAGTGTGTTTATTCTTTCCTTCAAACAATTTCTTTTTTCTTTTTTTTTTTTTTTTTTTTTTGCGGAACTGGGGATTGAACTCAGACCCTTATGCTTGCTAGGGAAGCGCTTATTCCACTGAGCCATCTCCCCGGCCCCTCCTTCAAACAATTTTTTAAAGTGTCCACAGTGTACTAGGTACTGTTCAAAGTCTAAGGGACATAGCAATGAACAAAATACCTAAAATTCCATCTTGGGAATGTGGCATTTTAGTGGGCAAAATAAAGCAGAATGTCAGGTGACAATGAAGGTGACCACTAATTACACCCTTGGAGGAACTGAGGGAGCAAGCCACTGGATATCTGGCAGGAAATTGTGCCAAGAAAATGTAACAACCAGTGCAAAGGCCCTGGGGCAGGAGTGTGAAATAGAGACCTAGAGAAAAATAGATCATATACACACAAGCAGAACCATAGAGACACGGCAATGTGGATAGAGGTAAAAAGACACAGAGAGAAAGAGACAGATACAGAGATGGCATGAATGGACTCAGAAAGTCAAGTGGCACCACAAATGGGGAGATAAGGGAATTTGGAGTTGGGCAGGGAGATGCCTGAGAACGCCACTCCTTGCAGTAAAACTGGAGCCCCCCACACTGTTGGCCCTGGACCCCAACCCTGAGGTGGCCCTACCCCAGCCAGGCTGCCTGTGGTTGCGCTGGGAACCATGGAAGCTCAGCCTCTACATGGACCAGAAGTGTGAGCTGCGCTACCGGCCACAACTGGGAGAAGCCAGCTGGGCAGAGGTGAGGCCAGAAGCAACCTCAAGGACCTGAGGTGGGGGCTGAGGGCAGGGCTCAGAGACCAGGCTTAGCATCACGCCTCTCCCCCAGGTGGGCCCCCTGCCCTCCAGCAATGTCCGCTATGAGCTCTGCGGGCTCCATCCAGCCACAGCCTACGCCCTGCAGATGCGCTGCATCCGCTCGCTGCTGCCCGGCCACTGGAGCAGCTGGAGCCCTAGCCTGGAGATGCAGACCACCCAAAGGGGTAAGGAGGTGATGGAGGCTGGGAGCAGCCATCCAGTCCAGTCCCTAGGACCTCTCCATCAAGCACCTTGTCTTCCATTCACAGTCCCCATCATCAGACTGGATACATGGTGGCGGCAGAGGCAGCTGGACCCCAAGACCATGGGTGTGCAGCTGTTCTGGAAGGTAATCCCTCAGAAAGCCACCTCTCTCCCCCTCAGACCTCCTCCACCTCCCGTGGTCCACCACATCTGGAGGACTGAGGGCCCTTTGCATGTCTATGTAACTTGCACGGACTTAGTGTGTACCAAGGAAGCTGAGTAGTGATCTTTTGGAGAGGCGACAACACAGGACTCACCCAAGCTCCAGAGGATCACTTCAGTAAATAGCTTCCTTCCCTCCCTTCCTAGAACCTGGCACAGGGGGGCAGAGTCAAGGGGGGGAAGGGCGAAGCCCGCTCCCTGGGAGAGGCTCTGTTCCACCCCACCTAGAGGTGCTCTCCTATTCACAACGAGCTGCACACCCCTTCACCATGTTCCTCCTCTGCCTGCCACAGCCCACACCCCTGGAGGAGGACAGCGGACAGATCCTAGGGTACCTGCTCTCCTGGAGCCCTGTAGGCCGCAACAAGCCGGTCCTGCCCCTCTGCAACACCACAGAGCTGAGCTGCACCTTCCGCCTGCCTTCAGAGGCTGGGGAGCTGACCCTCCTGGCCTACAACAGAGCTGGAACCTCTCAGCCCACCCCTGTGGTCTTCCAGGAGAACAAAGGTAAAGGGGACTGGCACCAGAAGAGCAGCATGGTACTGGGTGGGGGTGGGTTTGCATGTACATTCAGATGGCAGACTGCTTGGCTTCAAATCTGGTGCCATCACTTGCTCACAGCGTGACCTGGACAAGATCCTTCCCTCCTCACCCCATCTACTCAAGGTATAGCACATGGGAATCATAAGAGGGCCTCCTGAAGACTACCCCAGGGAGACACAAAGTAACTGCACGTAGTCACTATTATCATCAGCCAGAACCTGTTTAAACTGGTGGTCGTGTCTACATACGCACAAGTGTGTGCATGCACTCAGGTGCACACAGGCAGTCCATTCTGCCCTGAGAGAAATTCCTAACGTGGTCCATGGGTGAACTGCTCCCTCTAGGGCAGTGATGGCAAAACTTTCAAAGCTTTCAATGATAACAAACAGCATGCTGTGGCACGCAAGCCATAGGCTCTCTAGGGAAACACTCACCTCCACCACCCCCAGGGTCCCTAAACACGGGTCCTCACAGGTGGGATTTATAATCATAATAACAACAGTACTACCTGAGAGTCCCAACGTAAGCTGAATGATCTTTGGTAAACTACTTAATCTCTCTTTGTCTCTCATCTTCTTTGTGAGTAAAATAGGAACCACGGTAGCACCTCCCTGAGGGGACCATTTGAAGACTCAGTGAACTAATGTATATCAAGAATTGTGTGTGGCACAGACCAGGAACTACTGGCTCCTGCACTGGGGCTTGCACGCTTTTCACCTTCATTCCACTGTCTCCCACTGTCCCCAGGCCCAGCATTAGCCAGGCTCCACGGCATGGCCCGAGACCCTCAGAGCCTCTGGGTGGGCTGGGAGCTGCCCAGCCCTGTCCCTCGTGGTTATGTGATCGAGTGGGACCTGAGCCCCCCCAGCTCCAACGGCAGCAACATGACTTGGAGGCTGGAACCCAACGGAAATACCACAGAAATTCTGCTGCAGGGTGAGGAGCATGGAAAGCTGGGGTGTGCCCAGGGGTGGGAGACTAGGGCAGACAGGCCTGGGACAGCTGGGCAGCCTGGACTCCCCAAAAAAGCAGAGACCCCAGCTTTCCCCAAGTCTTCACTGTTCTTGTCTTGTGACCTCACCAGCAGGAAGTTCTTCCAACAGCCTAGCCTGATCTTCTCTTTCTACACCCTTAGCCTGCATTCTTGGAGGTCTTTTTTCCACTTCTCCTCCTTTCTTTTCCTTTTTTTCCTTCTTTGATGCTATGAAATGATCCAGAGAAGAGACTGCAGAGGTGAGCCCTGTGCCACGAGGCTAGGCTAGGCCTGACTAGAATCCTGAGGTTGGCTCCAGACCAGCCCCAGAGGTCAGGCCCCAATCAGCGCCCACTCATTCTGTCTCTACAGACAACATCAGGCCCTTTCAGCTCTACGAGATCACTGTGACACCCCTGTACCAGGACACCATGGGGCCCCCCAAGAACATCTATGTCTACTCCCAAGAAATGGGTTTGTTTAGAATCTTCTCTCTTTCCCAAGGCCAGCCTAGGCTCCAGAGATCAAGAATTGAGGGACCCTGAAGAGGGTCACCCCCAACCCTAAGGTTACTTATGACTCACTGCAGATCCCTGCACCTGGATCAAAATGAGGGGGTGTGGTGATACAAACTGGGCAATGAGCTTGCCAGAATTCAGGGGGCAACTCCAACAAAGTGAGTTGAAGACCCAGACAGAAGTGTGACATCTGATAAAAATTAGAGCATCTGGCATAAATTCAGAGAATGGCAGAAATCAGAGAAAGCCAGACAAAATCAGGCCTGGCAGAAATCAAGGTGTGAGGATTTATAGTCAAATGACTAGATTCAAATCTGTTCTCTGCCCCTTGGAAGCGGAACATAAAATTCAGATAAAATTCCTGGGAATTCATGGTGGTAAATGCCTTTAAACCCTGTAACTTGGGGAACCTGGGGCAGGAGGACCATGAGTTCAAGGTCAGCCTGGCCAACACAGTGACACCTTGGTTCAAAAATCCCAAACAAACCAACAACAAAAAAATCCCCAGGAAATCTGGGTGTGGTGGTGCATACTTGTAACCCTAGCATTCAGGAGGCTGAGGCAGGAGGATCACTGGAAGTCTGAGGTCAGTTTAGCTTCATAGTGAGTTCAAGACCAGCCTGAACTACATAGCAAGACCCTGTCTCAAAAGAAAAAAAAATCAAATAACCAAAAAATTCCCTAGGATCTTCTTTTGTCACCAACCCATAATGTATCCTACTTCCTGGTCCAGGCTCTCTGCTCTGCCTGCTCCCTCAGCCCCTGTTCCTCTCTTCCCTAAGGCCCTCCCCGTGCCCCAGTGCTTCATCTAAAGCACATTGGTAAGACCTGGGCTCAGCTGGAGTGGGTCCCCGAGCCTGCTGAGCTGGGGAAGAGCTCTCTTACCTCCTACACCATCTTCTGGACCAACACACGGGACCAGTCCTTCTGTGAGTCTATCCTCAGTTCCTCACAGCCCTGGAAGGCCCAGGAGGGGATGCTCAGCAGCCACTGAGGCAGCTTCAGCATCCCAGCCTAAGCTGACAACACTCCCCACCCCCAGCCACCATCCTGAATGCCTCCTCCCATGGCTTCGTCCTGCACAGCCTGAAGCCCTCTAGTCTGTACCATGTCCATCTCATGGCCACCAGCTTGGCTGGGGCCACCAACAGTACAAGCCTCACCCTGGTAACCTTGGCCATAGGTAAGGGGACAGAGGTACTGGGCAGAGACAGCTGTGGGGAGGGTACCCCATGCAAAGGGTCCCAATTTTGAGAGTAGACAGGCACTTTCCTCTACATCCCCTGGTGAGGGAGGAGACCCACCCCCACCCTTGGACCCCAGCCTGGAGGAAGAGATCCAGCCTTCTCATTCCTATTCCAACCTCTTCTGGCTTCCTTCACTCTAGGAGAGCCTGAGCTACACATCTTCCTAGGTGTGTTTGGCATCTTGGTTTTGACCTTCCTCTGTGGTGCTGCCTGGCTCTGCTGCAGTCCCCGGTGAGTCCATTTGAGAAAACTGACACCCAGCTGCTGCTCCCGTGGGGCACTGCAGGCATGGGCAAGCTAAGTCCCTTCCAGCCACCCCAGGTCTTAGGGTCCCTGTCTGGGAGTCCTGGCCCTCTACTTCCCCCTCTCTGCTTTAAGGAGAGCAGCTACAGGGAAGTGAGGCCAGGGATAGCCAGCTGGGAGGACATGCCTGAACCCAGCTTCACCTGACCCCTCCTGCAGCCGGAAGAATGCACTGTGGCCGAATGTGCCAGACCCAGCCCACAGCAGCCTGGGCTCCTGGGTGTCCACCGTCACGGCAGAGGTGAGAGCCTGCAAGGGGAGAGTGACGGGGCCAGGATCCTGGCCCAGGCTCAAAGAGAAGGGACACCCCATAAGGATGAGTGTGTAGCCTTCCATCACTTCCAGCGGGATTCCCTTTGGATTAATGTAGACCTGAGCCTTAATCACCACCCTGTGAGGCAGGAAAATGTGGATGTCGAGTCCAAGCAGCACATCCATGCACATGTCCTAGAGCAGCAGGAGCATCCCCACAACTGTCCTGACTCAGGAAGGGACAGCGGCTAGGGTACACTTCTCAAAATACCATGCCCTTCCTCCCCATCCCTGTATCCAGGAGACCTTCCAGCTGCCCAGCCTTCAGGACCCCATCCTGACATCCATCACCAAGATCACCGTGTTGGAAGAGGAAGAGAAGCAGCAGCCAGGGTCCTGGGAGTCCAGTGACAGTTCGGAGAGCTGTAGCCTCCCCACTCTCGTCCAAGCCTATGTGCTCCAGGGAGACCTGAGAGCAGCTCCCACCCAGTCCCAGCCACAGCCTGGGGCCAGTGACCAAGTCTTTTATGGGCAGGTTCTTGGCAGTCCCACCACTCCAGGGCTAGGGCACTATATGCGCTGTGACTCTACACAGCCCCTCTTAGGAGATTTCACCCCCAGTCCCAAGTCTTACAAGAATCTTTGGTTCCAAAGTAGCCCCATGAGGTCACCAGTGTCTCCACCCCCAAACCAGGACGATGACTGTGTCTTTGGGCCCCTGCTTAACTTCCCCCTCCTGCAAGGGCTCCGTGTCCATGGAGTGGAGGGGATAGGTGGCTTCTAGGGTTTCCTCAGTCTTCCTACCTGGGCCTGCCTCTTGATAGGCCAGGATTATCCAGAGGAAAGGAGGAGCCAGTAAGCCCATTACTAAAAGCTACCCAGGCCCAGGAAAGCAGAGAAGCTCCCAGTCTTTCCCAGTCCCTGGTTTCCAGCACCTTTTTCCCTCTCAGTCTCCATAGATTGGGCCTCCCTGGCCGCCTGTATAACTTAAGAGACAGGAAAAGCTCTGTCCAGCCCCACCTACTGGCCTTTTGTGTTTGTTCCCTATAGTAATTTCAGTCTCATAAACTGATTTTTTTGCCACTGTGTTTTTCACTGTTTTTGTTTTGTTGGTGGTTTTTGTTTTGGTTTGGTTTTGCTCTTTTAATTTCATCCTTTTTTAAGTTTTAACGTATCTGGTGTTTTGGGATTGTACATCTATAAAAGACAAATGGATAAAACATACTAGACAACCTGAAAAGATCGATCTAAGTATCTGATTCATGTCAGGCATGATGGGACACACCTGTAATCCCAGCACTCAAGAGGCTGAGACAGGAGAATCACTGCAACTTCAAGACCAGCCTGAACTGCATAGCAAGACCTTGCCTCAAAAAGACCAAAAAAATAAAAAATAAATAAATAATAGTATCTGATTCATTTGTCACATCTTTAGCAATACCCAGCAGCATGGAGACCAGGGGATAGAACTCCCGGCCTCTGAGTCTGCTTAAGCAGGCGCTTTATTTTCTGATCAAGGAGATTGTGGGGCCAAAGAGGAAAGTGATCGATGATGTAGAGTGTGCCTAAGGAGAGTCACATGGAGAGAAAACATTCTCTCAGGCTTTCACAGAGAGCACATTGGCCAGGCAATGGCCGTGACTCATCCACATGGCAGACACTGACAAAGGATCTACAATCTGAGGTATAGGATCTCAGGGAAAATCCGGAGGGGATTTCACTGACCTTATCAGATCCAAAAGCTACAACTCTTGTTGCATAGGTCTTGTTTTATCTTGGTCTTAACCATCCAGCAGAAAAGTATAAAAACAAACTATAAGAAGTAAAGCCATGGTGTTATGTTGAGCTGTAGGGGACTCAGGTCAACAGTTTCTGACACTGCCAGTGAAGCGGAAGACCCAATACTATTATGGACTACTGGACTCTTTTAGAATATTTTGCTGAGTTAACACATCTATAATATTCAAATGACAGAACTAAACAAAAAAGGGGATACGGATGAATGTCCATTTTGTATCTGTGTGTTCAAAATGGTGGGACTGGGGAGATGGCTCAGTAGAATAAGTGCTTCCCTGGCAAGCGCAAGGATCTGAGTTCAATCCCCAGTTCCGAAAAAAAAAAAAAAAGGGTTAGGATAGATATATAGTTACATTCTCTTAATGAATAAAGGGATTTGTTCTAATAGTGTTTGTAAATAGGATATCAAGTCTGCATCTTGTACAGCAAATAACCACTAGGAAGAGAGTATGCAATGTGTTAATTATTATTTTTTTTATGCTCCTGAAATGCCTTCCAGTGTGCTCCTCTTTATTCATTTTCAGAGTACAAACTTAAACTTGGATAGGCTAACCCAACCCACCTCTGGCAGGTACAGTCAACATGCTGTATAAAGTATAACATTCAATGTATTATTTCTTTCTCAAGAGAGTTTTCTTCAGTCCATTAAGACCCAGCTCCCCTTACATGGGCTTTGGTGGAGGTCGTGGGGCAGCACCAGCAGGTCTAAATCGGGGTGGAGGAGTTCGGTCCTGACGGGCTTCACGAGATCGATTTCTGACCACTTTGCTGTGAATGGCACAACTCACACGATAATGCAGCTTCCCATACAGCTTGGGAAGCACATAACCGTAGAAGACACTTGCTTTGGAAATGTCCCTGACGGTGGTGACCTCCACTGTGCTCCGAATGACAAACTTCTTAATAGCCTTATCCTTGGGTACGCACCGGGTGCAGTTCGTGCAGCGAATAGGCTGCACATGAGCACAGCGCTTTTTGGCACGACCGTTGTTCCTTCTTTTCTTCGTCATCTTGGAAAGGAGGACCCTAAAGAGCAATGTGTTAATTATTGAAACTGTTCTACCAATTTGATTTGAAACTGTCTCATTGCTATTTGTCTCTCAATAAAATTATGGAAAAAAAAAAAAGCAGGCGCTTTAATCCACTGAGCTATTTGGCCTGTCATAAGTGACTCCAATTCAATCCTATCCACAGGAGAACCCTTCCTGAAGAAACCTGATAACAGTACAATCAGGCATGTACATGGGAGGTGTAGATACAGGACATGGCCTTGGGAAAGGCCATCTACTTTCGGCATGAAATAGCAAAGTAGGTGGTAGCCACAGGGTTTGCAGAGAAGCTGAACCTAAAGACATCCAGAGCCCTGGCTGAGACCTTCGGTGTCTTTCACAGAGCTGGGGAGTGGGCTTGAAGAGCCAAAGCTAGGAGAATGAGCAGTGAGAGGTAAAAAGTACATTCCTCACATCTTCATCACAGAAAGTATAGTGGATTGTTAACTGGCGCTCAACTTACTACACCCAGCTGAACTAAACTAGCACGGTGCTGTGTGTGGGAGGCCAGCATGGGGATTGTTGCCAGCAACATTAGAGGCAGACCTGGAGATGCTGCTGAGAGTCTGTTAGGAATGCTATGCAGAGAAGCTGTTGGAAGCTGCTGGTTCTCTTGGGCTAATTCTGCTGGAGGACCTTGTCACACTGGCTTTCCTAATGAACACGGCTGTTCTTATCAGAGGAGCTTGGGACCTCACTGTTGCTGAGGATGGCTGTGGTACTTCTTGGAGGAGCTCTGGTGCTCACCTTGAGCATTGCTTCCTGGCTCCAATTCAGACCCCTCAGCCTGCTAGCACAGATCCTTCATCCCACCGGCATAGACTTTCTAGCTTCCACCACTGACCTTTGGGCCTTTCCAGCACAGATTCATGAAACTGACCTGCATGAGACATTGTCATGGGCTCTAGGCCTCCAATTGGATTCATGGGAGGCATTGTTATGAGCTCTAGGTCTTCAGCTGGACTCATGCAGGCCATTTCTGTGGGACTCAGGCCCTGAGCTGGATTCCTGGGTCTTTAGTGTGTGCACAGATTTTCTGCACTCACTGTATATGATTTTTTGGGTGATTCATTATAAAATAATCTTATAAATGTGTCCTGTATTGTATTGTTCCCCTTGCAAAATCTCAAAACTACAGCAGCTCTAAGCCTGCCCTCAGCTGAAGTTGGGGTCCCACAGCAATTTAGAGGGAAAGAGAGCACTACCATCTTTGAGGATTACAAGTCAAAGAGATGAGGAAAACAGTCCTGGGTTGTAAAAGTGGAAAAAAGTTTATTTAGCTTACAAGATTTCCATATACAAAAGAGTAGAAAAATTGTAATTGTAATTACTTTTTCTAAAGTAAATGCTTTAAAAAAAAAAAAAAGTAAGGAGAAGAGAATCTTTTTGCATCAGGGAGAATAAAACTTTCTCATTTTTTATTTACGTTTTCCATTGCTGCCCCCACTTCACAAAATCATGGGGGGCCAGGAGATAGCTCAGTGGCACAAGTGCCTGCCTGGCCAGTGCAATGTCTTGAGTTCAATTCCTGGTACAAGAAAAAAAAAAAAAAAAGAACAAAATCATCACAGTTAAGCCTTATTAAATGCTGTCTTGGTTTGGGAGTTTTGCAAGGGAAACAATACAGGACACAATTTATAAGATTTTTTTTTTCAAAATTTTTTTATTTGTGTGTGTGTGTGTGTGGCCAGCTCAGCCCACCAGGGGGTGGAGCTGGCTGGCATGTGGTGCTGGGGGATTGAACCGCGGTCCCTGTGCTTTGTTAAGCTTGTTCTAAGTAGGTGCTTTAGACCACTGAGCCATCTCACCAGCCCCTATAAGATTATTTTATAATGAATCACCTAAAGAATCATACAAAGGGGCCAGGGAGATGGCTCAGTGGAATAAGCGCTTGCCTGGCAAGTGCAAGGGCCTGAATTCAATGCCTCGTTCCGAAAAAAAAAAAAAAAAACAGACAGGAAAACACATCCTAAATTAAGGGGCTGGGGAGATGGCTCAGTAGACTAAGCACTTGCATGGCAAGCACAAAGACCTGAGTTCAATCCCCTGTTCCGGAAAAAAAAAAAAAAAAAAAACCTTAAGAATCATACAAAGAGTGCAAGAAATCTGTCCACACACTAAAGACCAAAGAACCCTACTGCAGGCCTCAATCTCTAATATCTTGCATAAGTCCAGCTGAAAACCTAGAGCTCATAACAATGGCATCAGTCCAACTGGATGCCCAGAGCCCACAATGTCTCTTGCAGGCCCACTCCACAGATCTGCACTGGGAAGGCCCAAAGGTGGAAGCTAGAAAGTCTGCGCCAACAGGATGAAGGATCTGTGCTAGTGGGCTAAGGGATCTGCACTGGAACCAGAAAGCAATGCTCAAGGTAAGAACCAGAGCTCCCCCCAAAAGTACCACAGCCATCCTCAGTGACAAGGAGGATTAAAGATCAAAATCCTTAATGAAACAAGCCTCTCCAGGAGACTGAGCTGTGCACCGTCTTCCCCTCCGGAGCCAGGAAGTGATTGATGCTCAAGGTGAGGACCAGAGCTCTACTAAAGTGAACCATAGCCATCCTCCGCAACAAAGAGATCCCAAGCTCCTCCTCTGACAAGAACAACCAAGTTTTCCAGGAAAGGCAGCATGACAGTTTCTCCAGCAAAATAGCTCAGGAGAACCTGCAACTTCCAACAGTTTCTCCAGACAGCTTCCCTAACAGCCTCTTATGCTGCTGGCAACAGTCCTCAGGTAGGAGGACCACACCCAGCACCACCCGAGTTCACTTCTGCTGGACATAACAAGTTGACCAACGGCTGGCAATCCACCACAATTACTGTTTAACTAGTACATATTTTGCACTCTACTTCCTCGGTTAATTCTCTGAGCAACATAAGATACATGGTGTTATTACTATCCCCCTATTTGAGGGCTGAGTACACTGTGGCCCAGAAAATTTAAGTAACTTGCCCAGGAGGTCACCTGTCAGTAACTGACTGAGTTAGGGTCCTTGCGCAGCGACCTCAGTCACCAAGCTACAAGTTGACCGAAACAAGGCTGAAACTCCAGTGGCTCTTTTTTTTTTTTTTTTAATTTGTTAAAGAATACAAAATAGTGATAGAAAAAAAACAGCATCAGAAACGATACAAAATTTCACTAAACAAAGTAATAAGCACTCAACAATGGTTGCTGTATTGCACGATGTTATCTTCAAATTAATTATTTAGGTTACCCCAACAATGCATGAAGGCGGAAGGAGAGTAAAAAGGGGTGGCAGGTGACCGCCAATTCCAAAGTAACCGGGGCCCAAGACCACGAAAATAGGAAGAAATTAAAATAAAGATACACTTCAAGAAAAAGTAGCATTTTAGGGCACGCATTCTCCCAGCCACGGCGCCACGTCTTCATTCTGACCAACTGTTAATCAAAGGATTCAATTCCAGCCAAAGTTCTGAGCGCCCTGCGAGTCCCGCCCGCCGATCCATTCTCTCGGTTCTCCTTTGCGCCTGCCATGCAACTCCCTCGATTAGTCTGGCCTGAGCCATCATGGCGGCGCCCGTGTAACTAGGCCTCAGCGAAGGGGACGGTGGTCGTGGCGCAGGTGCCGCGAGGGTCGGCAGTCACCATGCTGAGGGCCGCGTGGAGGGCACTGAGCTCATTTGGATTCCGGGCAGCGACCCAGGCCCCGGTCTTTGGTCTGCCGGGCAGAGGGAGTGCCAGGCTTCCTTCGGACCAGTGGGCCCTGCAGCCTCAAAGTGAGGAGCCGAGAAACGGGACCGCGGGAGGTGGGAGTGGAGCCGGGGGCCGGGACAGAGAGGAAGCTCTTCGGAGGGATACGGGAGGAACGATGGTGGTTGGAGAAGTGGGACAAGGTGGAAGAGACAGGAAGCAGTGGGGCTAGGGCGCAGGGACACACGGACTGTGGGGGAAGGGCGACGCGGAGTGGAAGAGCCCCCGGGGAAAAGTCTGGCCCTCTCTGTTCTGCCTAGGTCTGCTGCAGGCTGCTCGTGGATGCGCCACCCAGAAGCCAGGTAGGAGGTCTTGGGGTGAGCCTCGGGCGGGAGAGAGAATGCCTGGAAGGCTTGGGGTGGAAGAGGGACGTGCCAGAAGTGGGGAGTTAGAGCCACTTGGTGGGGTGGTCTGGAGGTCCGACCAGAGGACCCAAACGTCTACATTCCAAGCCCTAAGCCAGAAGCCTTCGTGACGAGGATTAGGAGCTTTCATTGGACATGGGTCAAAGCTGGCACCACCTAGAGCTCCCTGTAGCCCAGCACTGTGTCCATCCCTCTGAGAGATCCCTCTTACTAGTTACTTTGGACAAGTTCATTCCTCTCAGAGTCTCATTTCTAGAATAGTAGTCTCCACTAGAGACCCGTTGATGTCAGAATCCCATGATAATACATAAATGCATTCTTAGCACTTCAGAGAATTGGTAGATAGATAGTTATGTGCATAACAGGAGGACAGAGTCTGACTGGAGAGAACAAATGTGTCTGCCCTATTCCTCTAGACTGGAGGGTTTAAAGTGAGTTCAATTCAATCCTGTCCACTGGAGAACCCCTCCTTGAAGGGAACCTGAGTACAGTACAATCAGACATGTACATGGGAGGTATAGATACAGGATGTGGTCTTGGGAAAGGCCATCTACTTCTGGCATGAAATAACAAAGCAGGTGGTACCCACAGGTTTGCAGAGTAGAAGTTGAACCTAGAGACACCTGGTTATCTAGCTGAGACCCTCGATGTGTCTCACAGAGCTGGGGAGTGGGCTTGAAGAGCCAAAGCTAGGAGAATGAACAGTGAGAGCTGATGAGTATTTTCCATCCCTATGCATCACAGTCCAGCCCAGCCAGGACAATGACCTACCTCCTTCCACACTCCTCAAAGACTACCAGGACGTCCCTGGCATCGAGAAGTAAGCAGGGAGAAACCTACTTGAGGAGGCATGGGACCCTGGGAACATTGGTGGGAAGTAGGGAAAGAATGGCTTTGATTATAGAATGAGGCAGAGTATGCTGAGGGTGAGTGGAGTGGCGGGGGTAAATGATACTCATGGAGTCCAGTTACTTGCTTTTTTGGGGGGGGGGGGGTTTTTCTTTTTTTTTTTTTTTTTTTTTTTGTATTTAGTACGTAGGCCAGACTCATGTGATCCTCCTGTTTACAGCCTCCTAAGTGCTAGGATAACAGAAGCACAACACCATGCCCAGTCTCAGTCGCTTATCTCAGTGCACCCCTGAGGCTGGACCAGCACAGTAGGCCTGGGGATCAAACCCCAGCCCCTGCGTTTGCCTAAGCAGGCGCTTTAATCTATTTGGCTGGCCCATACCAAGCAGATAATATATCTTTTACATCTTTGCAAAAATCTCTCATCTTTAGATGCTCATAATAGCCTGCTAAAGGAAGAAAGAATGTCCCCATTTTATAGACTTTGAAGCTGCGCCATGACATATATCTCCTATGGGGCAGAGCTAAGGTTGAATCCAAGGTTGACTGTAGCCAAAGCCAGGATTCTGCCTGTCCCTGTCCATCTTCTGTCCTGAATGGTGGAAGCAATGCTATCTTCCCAGTCTCACCTATAATGCCGTTTAACTTGGAATGTCTCAAGACAGATTTTTGTTTTGTTTTGATTATTGAGACATGGTCTTGCTATGTAGTTCAGACTTGCTTTGAACTGACTGTAGCTCAGGCTAGCCCTGAACTCTTTGACAATCTTCCAGCCTCAGCCTCTCGAGTGCTGGGATTACAGGCATGCATCACCACACCCAGCTTCAAAACAGATTAGACCATGTTTTAGCTGAGATGAAAATCATTTCCCCCTATAGTTCTCACCTCAGTCCATTCTCTGCCCAGCAAGCCAGAACCACGCTGACCACCCCACCACATCCCCACCCCCACCTGCACCCCTGTGGTATGGAGGATGGAACCCAGTGCTTCATACAAGCTAGGCAGGCACTCAATCACTGAGCTCCCCCCTTACCCTAAAACTGATTTTAATCCTTAGAAAATGGCTCTCCACCTCTAGAGAGCCTTTGTTGTAGAAGGAGTTATCAATCATCCTTGGTTTTTGGGTTTTTTTTTTTTTTCTTTTTCCAGTCCTAGAAATTGAACACAGGGCCTTGCAAGTCTTAAGAACTTTACCACTGAGCTACATCTCCAGCCCTCTCATAAATTTTATTTTGAGACAGGTTCTCCCTAAGTTGCTCAGCTGGGCTCAAACTTGTAGTCCTCCTGCTTCAGCTTCCCAAGTAGCAGGGGTTATAGGTGTGCACCACCATACCCAGCTATACTTTTTTGTTGTTTTATTTTTAATGCTTGCTTTTTAAACTAAAATGAAAACAGCATTTCTTTCCCTTCCGTCTCTCCTCCTATACTTACCTTTTATTGCTGTGGTTTTTCCATAGGGTTGACGATGTTGTGAAGAGACTCTTATCTGTGGAAATGGCCAGCCGGGTAAGTCCTTACACCAAATCTCAGCCGTTAAGTCCCTCAGTCCTCTCCCCTGGGATTCTCCCTCCCCTGCCTAGCACCCCTGTCCCACCAGCCACAACACTTTATCCCACAGTTTTCTGTGCCTGCATGTCAGTAACCCCAGGCTGACCACCTCAAAGGCAGGAACAGTTTTGTTCTTCCATTACACGTCTGTTCCGTAAAGATGTACTCATGAATGAATTTGCAAACTTTGAGGACATTCATCTAGCAAGTGATTTCTCTTCTCAGGTCTTTGGCCTTGGGCTCACTTAGATGTGAATAACTGTGTGGTTAACCAGTACCGTAATAAACATGGTACTTGGGGACAGGAGGGCTAGATCTTTAGAGGTGGCAGATTGTAGATTTTTTTCATTTTCTGTCTTCAACAGAAAGAAATGCTAAAAATCAAGCAGGAACAGTTGATGAACAAGGTCATGGCAAACCCTGAGGACACCAGATCGCTGGATACTCGAAGTTAGTGAAAGAGCCCTCAGGAAGAGGGGGTATCTGCTACATAGGGCTCTTGGGAAAGAGAGAGACATGAAGGACCTAGGACAGTGTAATGCTGGGGAAAATGCCCAGGTTCTGCCTTGTATCTCTAAGCTTGGATAAGTTGCCAGTCATCTCTGGAGTTCCTGCTTCCTTGTCTAAAATTAGGGGAACTTGAAGCAGGCAGAGGTACTGTCACCTACCTTGTGTAAGGATTGTAAGAAGCTCGGCGAGGGGATATAAACACACCTTGGAAACTAAGTTCATACTCTGTGATAAAAATAGTAGGATTAACATCCACAGCACCCTTATGTGCCAGACAGACAGATGGAACATCCCTGCTTTGCTTTTGAGCTGAAACTGGCTTTAAATCTCATTTGATGTGAATAAAAAGCCCACTACCACCATCCCTTGCTTTAGGTGGAGTTTGTCCTCATTGACTAAAACAGGGCTGGGGATGGAGCTCAATGTGAAGGCCCTGAGTTCAATCCCCAATACTGTAGAAAGAAAGAAAGGAAAGGACCTATTTACTGTGACTTGGGATGACACCTTTATAAAAGTAAAGAATTTCTCTTCCTTAGACCTTTCTTTCTAAGGCAAAAATAACTTGGTCTTTTGAGTTCTTGAAATTCAAAGTGCTTGGCATTTGGGACTCACAGAGAGCAGGAGGAGCGAGTGCACTGGTGATTGTTATTCTTTCAGTTCTTAAAACATAACACAAGCCTGGGCCCTTCCTTCCTCTGTGCCCAGCGCTCATCCTCTGTGGTTTGTGGTTTCAGTTGTTGCCTTGAGCGTCAAGATCCACAGTTACCAAGAACATATGCAGAAACATCGAAAGGTAAACCTTGGCATCTCTGACAGTTAAGTAGTAGCAACCTAAGTGAGGGGGATATTCAAAGTAAGGGGATCTGGGTTCCAAGAAGCTAATGACTGTGATACCAGCGTGCTCCTTCCTCAGCTGCAGTGGGAAAAACACTTTCTTCCTGCCTCTGGAGGAGAAATAGGGGCCTTTCAGGCTGTGTTGAATGTCATCAGAAAGCTGCAGAGGGCTGGGGATATAGCTCAGCAGCATAAGCACCTGCCTGGTAAGCGCAAGATCATGAGCTTAATCCCCATTACTATGGAAGAAAAAAAAAAGCTGTAGAGCATGATATGGTAGCTGGTGGGTACTGAATAAATGTTTGTTGAATACATGAATGGAGTCAGATTGCTCTGTTCAAACCCCAGCTCTACCACTTGCATTAAACTAACCATGTGAGAGTGTGTGTGTAGTACTAGGGATTGAACTCAAGGCCTTGCGCTTGCCAGGCAGTACCACTGAGCCATCTCCCCAGCCCTAACCATGTGACTTTGAGGAAGTTCAGGCCTGAGCTTTATATCTCTTACCTATAAGGAGATTGTAGGCACATATGGTGGCACATACTTCTAATGCCAGCATGCAGACCAGTGATGGTGGTGTATGCTCTAACCCCAGCACTGAGGAGGCTGAGGCAGGAGGACTGCCATAAATTCCAGGCCACACTGAGTTACATAATGAGTTGAAGGTCAGCCTAAACTGCATAGTCTGTCTAAAAAAAGCTAGAGAGGGGAAGGAAGGAAAGAGAGTACTTGCTCACGGGATTGCAAGAATTGAAGTCTTTTGGCGCTATGCTGAATACTTTACATGTATCTCTCATTTAACCCTTATAACTTTCTTTGCTGTTTCATGGAGAAATAGTCTAGTTGTGGAGTGATTAAGTTACTCCTCAAGGCTTACCACTAGGAAGCGATGGCTGGCCTTGGAACCAGGCAGTCTTGCTACAGGGGTACCATTCTGTTCATTTGGGGTGTAGAAACCCAGCACTGCTGCAGAGGCCCCTCCCTGGGTAGCACCGAGTGAGACCAGAGTGTCTAAGAAGAGTGTAAGGTGTGGAGAGAAGCGTGCATGGTGCGGGGGAAGGAGCATGAGATTTGCAGTCAGATCATCAGGCCTGGGTGGAACACCTGACCTCAGCACCCAAGGTTCTAAGGACTTTTTGTGAACCTTTATTTTTCCATTTGTAAAACATAATGTATAACAAGGACAGTATCTCTTGAGAGTTACACTAACATTTGTATAAGACTGTTAGGAACTTTCAATGAAATGCTAAGTGACCATCCTTCATTACTGTGAAAAACAGTAACATTTACAAGATACTAAAAATAATACAGACTTTCAAATAGGACAAAGCCCACAAACGCTATCTCCTGATGAGCATTGATCAGAGGAATAAGATGCTCAAAAATCTCCGGAAGACCAACTACAGTGTATTTGAGAAGATATGCAAAGAGCTGGGGATCGAGTATACCGTA